GGCCGCCAGGCGGAGGAGGGTGGTGGGGGCCCTCGGAAATAAGGCCACGGTCAAGGGCAGAGTCGTGAAGTCGGCAATAGGTGAGTCCCGGCCCGGCTGCTGGGGGAGAGGGAAGCAGCTGTGGCCTCCTCCGCAGCCCTCGCACCAGCTCCCCCAGTTGTGTCCGTCCCTTCCCGTTCTCCCGGGTTCCCTGCGAGCTTCCCCCGCTCCAACACAGCCTGACCTGCGGGAGCGGCCCTATCGCTGAGCTGGAGCCGTGTTACTTTCTCCCGGGGCCTTGCTGATCAGTCACCCTGTGTCTCTCCTTGCGAGCTGCCTTGAGGAGAAGCTGATGGCTTTTCTTCTCGCTCTGCTCTGATCTAGAGGAGTATCACAAGAGGAAGCCCGTGAATCACTTGAGAACAAACCTGCAGTACATGTTGAAGGGACGAGTTGTTGCAAACAAAGCCATCACAGAACAAGTAAGACCATAATTTCTTTGTGTGTCTGCTTCTGCTGAGGAACCTAAGTGGATGGGAATCATTCACAGATCTTCCAGCTTAGACCCTGCACAAAGGAGTCAAGTTTCTGTCTGCAAGTGGCCTGGAGGAATTTCTGCACTGGCAAACCAATAAATGTTAAACTCTTGTTGTTTTGTTGTTGCCTACAATGTTCTCAGATACTAGTTAAAATCTACTGACAATCGTTGCTTTTCTTAATTACCAAAAATATTTCATAGCTTCAGCTGCAAAGAAACCCTGGTTCAGGCCTTCTCCTGGCTGTCAGTTGAACTGGTCTCCTGTGTAGTTGGAGGCTGTTTAGCAAGGAACCAGATGTGCTGCTGGCTCATGTCATAGGAATTTTGTAGTATTTGGAATGATGTTGCTCATAATTTGAGAATTTAACCAGTGGTCTTCCCCAAAAGGTGATCTCATGCCAGGATTTGAAGAGGAAAGCAGCCATCACTGCTAGAATCTTGGGCTGGTTTTCGGAGATACAGGCTGTAAACTTACATAAACAAACCAAGTGGTTTAGACTGGTGTTTCTCAGGCTGGAGACTGTGAAAGGATGTGATAGTGTATTAGAAAATGCTGAGTGAATTCCACCAATTTCCAGGTTGTTCCAGGGTTTCCAGGTTGTGTCATGGAGAGGCAGAGTAAAAGAAGGTCACAGTTTCAGAAAAATCTGAATTGAAACTAGTGTTTCTATCTCTGACACTTGAGAGTAGTTTTGCATTTTACTCCATATAATAAATTGGTATTTACTGTTGTCCTCATGACCTGCTTTAACATCAGTAATTGCCTATCACTCATGTTTGGAGGCAGTCCAAGATACAGTAGGTTACTAGCAGAACAGCAAGGATGCTGCAGGTGAGCTTGAAAGTCACTGTTTTGTGGTTTGGTCTAGATAACAATGACTTCTTTTTTTCCTGTTTTTCTTGTCTGAAGGTACTTGCTCAGAACAGAGGAAGGAAGGCCAAAGATCAGCCTCCGAAGAAGGCAGCAAAGAAGAAGCCTGAGGGCACTGTCTTTACTGAGGAAGATTTCCGTAAATTTGAGAGGGAGTATTTTGGGAGACCATAAACATGACTGGGGTTCTGACAGCTCCAGTCCTGCAGCTGAGTGCTCAGCACACAGGACTGGCCATTTCCTTAGCGTGCTTGAGATGGGACAAAGGAGACGTGTCTCTGGCAGCAAGGGTTCTGATGTCACACTTGCAGAGAAGCTCCTCATCTCTGCAAAATTTGTTACTGGCGAGTTAGAGCCATGGAGGTTCTCTTGGCTCTAAGACTTTATAATCTTCAGCCAACATGTCTTGCATTCTTAATGTAGAAGGGTGGAACAAGCCAAATTTACACCTTGTTCCTCTTCCTCAGGATGTAAGGCTTCTGGTGCCTGAGTTACTTGGCAGGGAGCTTTAAAGCACAGTATCTGAATGGAGAAATGTTTTGGACTGGCAGTAACAAAATCATCAGAAGGGAAGGATGCTTTGAAAGACACTTAAACTGGAGTAGCCCAGGAGTTTCTGTTATTACAGCCTCTGTCAGGTTTTTCAGTCATTGCAAAAACTTTGTATATGTCTTTTGATTAAATAATTGTTGCAAACGCTGCTTCTCTTTGCCTTTATAATAGTGATTATTAAGACAGGTTACAATTCATGAAGACAAACCCTGTCACTGTTCTGATCCAAACACCCCTCTCTTTAGGATGACTCACTTGTGTGATTCATGCTGACACACATATTTAATCTCTCTGACATGCTCAGGCCTTCAAAGAGTGCAGGTTGGATCAGAGATGACTCTTTTTTTTTTGGTTGGTTGTGGTTTTTTTTGCCTGCTCATGGTCTCTTCAAGGCAGAGCTTTTTAACATGGAGAAAGTTGTCCTTTGGATGCTTACACCAAAGGTTCGGCGAGGCGGGCACTGCTGCTGGGTGCTGCCAAATCCTGTAGCCAGGAGGGGTTCCGGCCCAGACGTTAGCCTCGGCATGAAGTTAACGTCTTCGGAGCCAGAAGCTGTGTGTGGTGCTGGGTCGAAGGGAATTTTTTTCTATCAGAATACTGCTAAATTCCCGACTGCAACAAATGGGAGGCCCGGCAGGTGGGAGTGTTGTTCCAGACACTGCACTAAACCACTATAAATGTGCCGCGGGGAACCCTCCGGCACTGCCCTTTCCTGCCCCTTCCCTAAGATGGAAAGTAACCTTTGGAAAAAAAGAGGTAAGGAGGACAACTAGAGCCAAGCCGTGGTTAGACTCGGGAGCTGATTACAAGGGGCTTGGCTGACCTAAGCTGCAGCTGCTTAGATGTCGGCACTGGCAGGAATTTGGTTTTCCTTCCCTGCTCTCTGGTTGTAATTCCTGGTGCCATCTTTTTGAGTCTGTGCCCCTGTTGTGTTCTTCCCCTCGTGTCTGCATGGGAAGGAAGGTCACCCATGACCATGAGGTCATGTATGAGGTCCAGACAGGGGGAAGAGTGAACATACTGGAAATTGTGTAATGGCACATGGGAGGGGATTTCTTGTAATAGGATCAACTTCAACTATCTGCAGCCAAAAGTGGTAAATATAGAACAGTTCAAAGACCAGTTCCCTTCTTTTTCAGTTTGTTCTTACTCCCAGCATTACAAAGATGTGTAAAAAAAGAGAATGACTGTTTCTTAAAAGAAAGGAAGCACTACAGTTTGAAAATGTGTATGCAGCACATGTCTTTCTAAAACCTCTGCAGTGTGTGTGTGAGCTCGTCGAACACACACAGCTGTCATGGAGCACACTAACAGTGTGAAAAAGCTGGCTGTGCCACAACTTGACTTTTGAAAGAGGCATATTTCTGGGGTTTTACTTTGTTTCAAGCTCTTATCTTCAGTATTTGGCAGTTCCTTCAACCTTACCAAGGTTCTTCATGTCACCTCCTGTGCCTCCTCTCTCAGTTCCTCCTATGCAGCCTCCCAGGCCCTTCTGCAGGCTGAGGAAAGCAAAACCATCTTTTGTTGCTCCAGGAAGGACGACTAGGGTAATGTGGTTCACTCTCTTTGTACAAAACCCAGCTTGTTTGCTTGCAAATGTAAGCAAACAGGAAAGTTGTTCTTTCAAAGTTAATGAGGAACTTTGAAGTAGGGCCCAGAGCAATTTTCCTCTAGGATAATAACACTTACATCTGTGGAGTTTCAAAGTTGGAAGGCGGCTCTCATTTCTGGCTGGAAAGACTAATAGGGCCAACATAAGTAATCAACGTAGTTCTGGTGGCTACATGCCACAAGGTGTCATATTGCTGAAGAGTGTAAAGTTACCTGACTACTGGGTTGTGTCACCTGAAATCAAACAGGGTTGTACAGCCAACAAAGAATGAAAGAACAGCGTGAACACTGGGTAAGGACAGGAGTTGGCCCCTAAGGCAAATGTCTTGAAGCTAGAGGGGAGAATAGGTGCCAGCCTGTTGCATGTGCCTGGTGACAAGACGTCTTCTCATTCTCCCAACTCTCTGTGTTATGGTCTAGTCAGGCCTAGAGTGTGCCAGCACCTTGGCTCTCCTGAGACCCCAGGAGGTGGCTGTTCTATGGCAACATGTGCCATCTCTCTGTTCCTTGCAGCCAGAATTTTCTCCCCCATGTAGGAGAGAAGGGGGGGTTAGGGAAGGAGCATCTGCCATAGCTGGTTTTCCTAGTTGGCCTCCAACATCCAGTTCCCACGCTGGAAGCTAACAAGCTGCAGCCCGCAACCTTTGGACCTGCTGGACAGCATTTCTCTCCCATGCTGATCCACTGTGCAGGGAGGCATCTGGGATGAAGGCCACATGCTGGCTGAGCTCATCGGGCTGCTGGCTCTCTTCCCAGCTCTGCGACACCAGCCGAGCATCCTGCAGCAGAAAGCAGAGGTAGCTGAGCTCAGGAAGAAGCAGGAGGGTGCCATCTTACACTGCATTCCCAGAATGGGAGGCAGCAACAGCAGCTTTAATATAAATGCAAATAAAAGCTCTGGAGTGTTATTAATGGGATAGAACCTTTCCAGGGAAGCGGTTTAGAGGAGGCTGAATAGTTCCCAGATGCTTAGTGTTGAGCTAGCTTATTGTGAATAAGATTCATCAGGCTGGCTAATGGCCTATTGCTCCCTTGTTATCTGAACAGAAAGCAAAGAGGAGAATTTGTTTGGACGGGTACAAGCTAAATGTAAGCTGATTCAGCCTCTGCTGTATCAGCAAGTCTTAAAGCAACAACAGCTATTACCAACATTAGATGCATATTGGGAGAGGGGAGAACTGCAAATGTAAGCTAAGAAAACGTGTTCTCTCAGGACAGTAACCAACTTCTTGCCTCTGAAATGACACAGCAGTAACAAACCTGGCTGCCAGTGAAAAAAGGCAGGCTGTATAACTTGCTCAGCAAACAAGCTTTGAAATGCCTAAAAAGCTGTGGAGGGAAACCTGGGGAAAGTGTCCTAAAAACCCTTGGTAATCTCAGCCTCTGATTTCTTTTCTGTGACTGACTTCCATTTCAGTCTTGCTTATGACCAGCACCTACAGCAGTGATGGGCTCCTGGACAGCCTGGGTAAGGGACTGGTAGCTGTAGAAAGGGTGCACAGCAGCAGTGCCCTGAACAGCTCACTAAAGGGAAGTTACAGCGAAAGGAAGTTTCTCATTTTAAGACAAGAAGACCCATCAATTAAATTAAAAACAAGGAGTGCAGAAGGCGGCAGGCTGCCTAATGCCTGTTTACAGCTCAAGATGAGGAACGGCAGCCAAGCCAGGCTGAAGGGTTAGTAGGTTTGAGACGGATTAAAGGTTTGCATATCTATCCATAGTTACATTAAATAGGATTAACATTGCCAAGCACTAACTGGTGGGGGCAGGGGAAACAAGAAGCATGAAGGTTGCTCTGAGTCTGTCTACAGGGTTACATGCACCTTTTTCTGAACAAATTAGCTGTTGGCAGGACTAACCAGTAATGGAGCCAAGATGGTCTGTCCTGAGCTGCACTGTTTGCATGTCAGTGAGTTCATTCATCTTCTTTAATGGGAGGCAAAGATGAGGTCTCTTCTCTGACCGCCGACACGCTGCAATGGAGATGCAAAGAAGATTCTCTGCCCTATATAAATTAAGCTGAAGTGTTTGCTGCACTAAGGACTTGCTCCCTGCCAGTTTTTAAAAGTGTGTGTATGTGTGAAAGAGAGAAAAAGAGCAGCTGAAGGAGAAATGAGAGGCAGCCAGCCATTACTTGGAGAACATGCACCTATGTCATAGGGAAATTGGAGCTTGTGGGTAGAGCTAGCTTCATTTGGTGGCTTGTGACACTGCATGACTGCACTGAAAACAATGCAAAGGCAGCATACCTGGTATACCTGAGCAGCCAAAATGGTATTGACTAGGTCAGAGGACTGAACTCCTCTGTTAATTCACAAGACCAAACCTGTGGGCTTAAGGCGTTTCAATGGGAAAGTCAGCAAAAATGAGCTTTTTTGGCCCAGCAAGGGGTGCTTGTGGTAAGACACCAAGACTGTTTTAACTGGAAATGAAGTGTAACAGGAGTGTATGTGCTGGGCTGCATGGCAAGGCTATGAGTACGTCAGGAGGAGGAAGGAAGGGAGGTTGTCTCCAGAAGCCACTTGAACCAGATTAGGAAAAAAATGAGTATGCACAAATTGAAAATTTGCCTTCAGAAAGCAAATGTGTTATTCCAACCAAAAATGTATAGATTTCCCATCCCAAAAAATCTTTCTGAATTAGGAACAGGTTTATTAAGTGGAGAAAAAGGGTGGCTAGGCAGCAGTAAGGGTGGAGAATGCCAGGGACATCTCAAAACAGAGAAAGTACGTTGATATGCCAAGAACAGAAGCTGATCTATACCTAAAAAAATGATAATAATTAAAAAAAAATAAATAAAGGGGAAGCTGTAGGAAATGTGGGTGAAACAAGGAGTACATTTTTTTCAAGAGGCACATGGCTCATCTCTGGAGTCCACATGGCTTTGAGGCTAGGGAGAAGGAGCTGTGAATTCACTGTATGAATTTGTTTCGATCAGAATAACCCACATTTTCTTTCAACCAGTCCAGCTCAGTAGCACCAGGGGAGTGTTCATCTCCCAAAGGGCAGTATGTCCTTGCAGTTATTTCTGGGCTCTCTGCCAGGGCAAATGCTGTTTGGAAGATTTTATGATCATTCTTTCCTCATTCTCCAAAGCTGCATCTGGGGATTTATTTTTGTAAGCGTGCTGCAAAGGTGCATCTAGCTCTCCACACAGGCATGCAGAGAAGTTATCAGCAGTGGTGGTTTCCCCTTTTTGTTTGCAAAGTGCAAGCACCTGGACCTCTCTAAAGGTAGGCGGAAGAGGAAAGTAGTTATAAATATTGTGGTAACAGCAGAAAAAAGCTCATAAGAAGGGGTCATACGTTGTCAGCGCAGCATTGCAAGCAGTGAACCACCAGGGGTTGTTTGCTTATGTATGGCAATATCAGACCCCTGTTTGCCTTGAAGTACAACATCAGCTGAGGGATCAGCAGCCTAAGAGTCATGCACTCTGTGTGTGTGAAGTCCACTTCACTGCCCTTAATTCCGAGGAAAAACAACTGAGACAGATATCCCACCAGCCATGCCAACTTCAGATTCAAACAGCTTTATATAACATAGATCTGGGGAATTCTGCTCTTTCCAAGTATGGAGAAGAACTGGGCTCCTCCAGGGGTAGGTAAAGCCTGCATTTCATGCACTACAATCTCTTTCTGGACTATTCATACATCACGCTGTGTGCAAGCTGCAAGGATTTGATTGAAGCACATTTGTTCCGAGAGGCTGTGAGAGAAAGAAGGCAGCTCCTGCAGTTTGCAAAATGTAAAATCATTCACCAGGCAAGAGGCTATCGGATTTTTCCTTCAGCAGGCTGGGGTCTGTAACGTGTCCTCGGTGTCCCTTAGCTGCAGCAGCACACTGGGCAGGCTGCTGGAAGGCAGAGCCAGGTGCTGGGATGCTGGCTGCGCCTAATAACAAGCCTGGAAGAAAAGCCCGAGTGAAAAACACAAAGGGAAGAGTCAGCCCTAATCTCTAGCCAGTGTTAAAAGCTTAACTAAGTTACTAAGTATAGAGACACGGCGTCATTTCAGCAGGCGTTGCATAAGGTTGCCATACCGGCTGTCTCTGCAGAGCTGCAAGCTCAGAGCCTCGGCAAATAGCGATGACACCAGCTGGTCTTAAAGGGCAGGTTTCTGGTCCTCCTGCAAGCAGCTCTATAAAATGCACACATGGGTAGAGAGGGCAGGGAGCAAAGCAGCATGGGTGCGTCGTGTGTTCTTTGTCTCCTGCTCCAGCTCTGATCTTCCTTCCCTGGAGTGAGTGCAATTTGGTAAATTGGAGCTACGTATTCTCTGGAGAGCTGTAGAAAGCAGAACCGTGTGTTTCCTGGCCAGCACAGACGCTGCCTCGCCTGCCTGCAGAGCATGAACTCAAAGAAAAAAAAATATTTCAGTCAGGGGTGGCTCACGGATGGCCCTGGATGGGGTGGGGCTGGGGGAAAATGTATTGACATCTTTCCAGGCTTTGGGTGAGGTGAGTAAAGGCTGCAAACTACATCTATTGCCCCCACAGCCCAGGCTGCTGCCGGGTTTAAGCAGAAGTTGCAATGGATGTGAGGGATGCAGAGGTGGTTGCCTCATGGATGAAAAGGGGGATTGATTTGGAGAGAAGAGAGGTTTCCCCTGCACAGAGGAGCCACTCACTCGTATGTTCATGCAGGTTACCATGTTTTTCTGTGGCTCAGCTGAGACCAAGCACATGAAGGACTGTGTCCTAGGCTGCACCAAAAGAAGCATGGCCAGCAGGTCAAGGGAGATGATTCTCCCCCCCTTTATTCAGCTCTCGTGAGACCCCACTTTGGAGAGCTGTGTCTAGTTCTGGGGCTCCCAATGCAAGAAGGACATGGAGCTGTTGGAGCAAGTCCAGAGAAGGGCCACAAAGAAGATCAGAGGTCTTGGAGTCAGGCTGAGAGGGTTGGGATTTTTCAGCCTGGAGAAGAGAAGGCTTTTTGGGGAGACCTTATAGTGACCTTCCAGCACCTGAAGGGGCTACAGGAAAGCTGGGGAGTGACTTTTTACAAGGGCTTTTAGCAAGAGAATGAGAGGTAATGGAATAAAACTGGAAGAGGGGAGATTTAAGTTAGACATTAGGAAGACATTCTTTAGTGTGAGGATGGTGAGACACTGGAACCGGTTGCCCAGGTAAGTTGTGGAAGCCCCATCCCTGGAAGTGTTCAAGGCCAGGTTGGATGGGGATTGGACCAACCTGGTCTGGTGGGAGGTGTCCCTGCCCATGCAGGGGGGTTGGATCTAGGTGATCTTTAAGGTCCCTTCCAGTACAAACCATTCTATGAAACCGGGACACTCAGGAGGCTGCAATGGGACAGACCATTTTTCTGTTTTAAATAACATTGGGGACCTTTTCCCTCCCCGATCAGCGCTGGCTGAGGCCAGTCCTGAAGCTGCAGCACCGCGTGCACATGCCAGCCAGGCTGGGACGTGCAGGTGCCTGAGCCAGGCAGCTTACTGAGGTCGTGTCAGTGCAAGCGGGGAGGAATCTTAACTCTGTGGGGAAGGATGTGCATGTCCACATGCCAAAGCTGGCTCCAGCAGGTCAAGCAGGGATTAGATGCCACTAAATCTGGGTATCAGTCGCTAAAAAAAGAAAAAAGACTCACACACAAAATAATTAAAAATGGCATGTCCCAAATCCTGAAGCTTCTGTTAGGAGAATATGGACACACTGGACATGGACGTTCAATGATATTCAGAACCTCACAGAACTAGAACCAACATTTCCTTGCACTGAATGCCTAGATTCAACTCACCCACAAATAGAAAGGCATAAATTAATATTTACAGGCAGAAACCATCCTGCTACCTGCCTGTCATCTTTGCATTCAGGTTCTCTGCAGTGTGGAACAGGCAGACATGATCACAGCAGGATTGTTTTTTTCCCATTGCAACTTCCCTGTTGCGATGCTCCAGCACCAGAGCATTAACTAACCTGCCGCAGCCCCACTGAGAAATGCCAGCCCCAGGAGCCAGGCGGCAGCTCCTTGTCAACAACCCCACCTGCATCCCCAGCACGCACACGGCTGTTCCAGCACAACCAGCACCTTCACTTCACCAGCTGCAGGGCTGCATCGGGACTAGAGCTGAACTAGCTCTGTGGACCAACTCGTCTGTTCCCTTGGTAGAAGGCAGTGACCACACCTGCAGTAGTATGGCCAGTTCTGGAGCCCCCCACACAAGGACAGAGCTAATGGAGCAAGTTCAGGAGGGCCACAAAGATGATCAAAGGGCTGGAGCACTTCTACAAGTACAGGTTGAGAGTCGTTCAGCCTGAAGGAGACCTTATGGCAGCCTTCCAATACCTGAAGGGACCTATAGGAAAGCTAGGGAGGGCCTTTTCACAAGGGCATGTAGGGATACACCAAGGGGGAATGATTTTTAGTATTAAAAGGTTAAATTTAATTAGGTATTAGAAAGAGATCTTTACTGTGAAAATAGATACTGCCCATAGAAGTTGTGGATGCTGCTTCCCTGGAAGTGTTCAAGGCCAGGTTGGATGGGGCACTGAGCAACCTGGTCAAATGGGAAGTGTCCCTACCCATGCAGGGTGGTTGGGACTAGATGATCTTTAAGGTCCCTTCCAACTCAAACCATTGTGTGATTCCATGTTTACACCTTAAAATTGGGTTAATATTCAGTGGCTGGGTGGAGAAGCTGCCATGTCTTTCATGCTTCAGCCCACTGGCATCTTTCTTCATGCAAACTTTTTACAATCTGCCAAATCTTGAAGGTTCCCAGCAAAGAGCTCAGATTTTGCTTATCAGTCTGCAAAGATCTTCAGTGGATTCTCCAAAGTTCTTCAAATGGATCATCTTTGCTACTGAGAAGCTGGGGGCACCACAGTATGACCCCCCCTCCCTCCAGTGTAAGTATGTAAGGTCTTGCCACTCATATGTAAACCATATGTGGGTGACCAGCCACACTTCTTGTGCACTTGCTCTGCACCCACTGCCCAGCAGACCAAGGAGCACACAATGATGGTGTTACATCATGCTCCCATGAGCTCAGTGTCTGTTAACACCCATGTGTAGTGCAAGCTATGCTTGCTTTACAAATAACCCAGTTATTTCACACCAAAATTTTAAGTTTACTATAAAATAATTTATTAGACAGCCATACACAGCTTTAGCAGGAAGCTTATATACATGCACATAGAAACTGCTGACTACCCTACTCAGGGACTCTAGCTCTTTTGCCCTTGGCCTTGCGGACCTCCTCAATTAGATCTTTTAAATACTGGATTTCCTTACTAAGAGAATCTGCTTTCTCCTTCAGGGCCTGATTCTTCTGCTCCAACTCTCTGCACTCCCCAGACAGTGCTTCCTGTTCCGCCCTCTTCTTCTGCCGGTAACGTGTGGCAGCAGTCTTATTCTGCTCCATCTTTTTCAGTTTCTTATCTATTTTCTTTTCTCCTTTTATCTTTGCTGACACTACCTTCTCTGCAGGGTGATCATACGGCTTGGACCGCACAGCGCCACAGCTGGCATCTGCAGGAAACTGGTGATTGGGGGATCCAACCGAGTTGGTTGGACTATGCTGGGGGGTTCCCAGGTAGGAGTCTGGGCTCATGCATATTCCACTATCATCAGAATGGTTCTCCTCCTCCTTCTCAGACTTGGTGATCACTACCACAAAGGTGGGGCCCTCCTGTTTTCTTTCTCCTTCCAGAACATCTACTTCACTGCCTAGTTCTAAACTAAATGAATGATCTGGAGTGGAAGTCAGAGACCCTGGGGAGAGGGGGAAAGACCAAAGGGAAGCTAATGGGGCCATGGGATCTGCTCCAATTGAAGATTCGGGGAGATGGGTGATTAGGTCAGTTATCAGTGGAGGTTCTTTGTTGTGGAATTCCTGGATGGCAGGGTTAAATAGGAGATCACACGTGTCTTCCAACGTGGCCATTAGCTCGTCTGGTGAGACGGTGGCTTCCAGATGTTCCATACCTAACAGGGCATCAAAATCAAATTCCTTCAGATCCATCTTCTCCACCATCCACTCCATGCCAGAGAAGGCATCCTCTGTACAATAAAAAAAACCATACCATTTAAGTAAATCAGCTGTCAGTGCAATTCAAGCTTCTGAAAATCACCTAGAAAAACTTAACACCTTCCCAATCTCTAGTATTAGTATATAAAAAACCACAACCATCAGAAAAATCCACCATTAACTGCAGGAGACTGGAGAGTATACTGTAAGCCATCAACTATTCCGACATTCCATCCCTCTTACTCCAACACCAGCATAATTCAAAGCCATTTGAAACATACAGCCATGCTTGTTTCTTGTGACCTCTGCCAGTGAGTAGTATTTAACAGTAGGGATGTTATTAAAAGGGCTACAGAAGCGTAGCCGCACACCAGCCCAGTAAACAGCAGTTCTGTACTGTGTAAGCAGCATAGTGCACATGCTCTCCATGCAGAGGTAGGCATGTAAGGTTACCTTCACATTTATGAAAACCTAGCAATTTTGTTATTTAACTGGAACGTTATCAAATATATTATGCACCACTGTAATCTATGCACTTCATGCAAATAAATAGAATCTTACCCTGGCTGCTATCTATGGTGTTGCCTAAACTGTCCACAGCAAGCCAATTGGAGGAGACTGCCTTAGCCTTGTCGCTGGAGAACCCATGCGAACCGAGGGGCTCGGCCACCTCCAGGTAGTCATCGAGGAGTCCCAGACTCTCCTCAGCCACCGAACACGGCTGGCTGAAGGGGGATAATGAATCCCCCAACAGCATCTCGTTGTTCAAGAGGCTCATCTTCGTCAGTTTTTAACGCTTTGATGTCGAAGGATGTAGACAAGTAGCGGGTCTTTTTGTCGACTACAGCAATGCTGCTGTGCGCTGCCTTGAAAAACCTGAAAATGAAACTTCAAGTCATCAGGACTCATTTCACCACTTGTGTAGAGCTTTTTAGAAACAACGCCACTTCATGGATCATGTTGGGTCGGTTTGTAGGGCCTCTCCGTTTTGGACACTGCCGCTCGCTCGAAACGTGAACATCTTCACGTTTCCCACCTCTTTGTGAGCAGCTCCCCCCCAGGGGACCCCACCGCGGGCTGCCCGGCTCCCTCACGCCCAACGCGGGGCAGCGCGGCCCGGCCCCGCCCCGCCCGCCCCCGGGACCCAGGGCCACGCC